TCAAAGGAGTGAATTCCCCGATGCTGCTTACTGAGAGGGGTGGGGAGGGGAGGGGGCACGCAGGGCAGCTCCAGGCTCCCCTGCTGGAGGCAGAGAGGGTGAGTGCCTGCAGCCTGGGTCTTTCCAGCCTCCAGCCCTTTGCTCTGCCCAGCAGTGTTGTAAGGCACACAACGTTGCGACCCTCTTTAAATGCTGGGTGCTTTGAATGGGAGGGAAATGGCTACTGAATGACAAGACAGAAAGCTCACCCCAGCCCACCCCCCCTCCACCTCCCAACCTTGCCAGGGGAGGACCCAGGGTGGAGTAAGGGTGCAGACACTCCTTTTACCCGCTCTGCTGGAGTAATGGAGGAGTTGGCAGTAACCGTAACGGATCAATGAAGCTCTGGGACGTGAGCCTGCCAGGGACCTGGAAATCTCTCAGAGAGAGCCGCCTCCCTCCCGATGGAGTTTGCTGTCATCAGATGTCATCGATCCTGTATTCACCAAACCAAAACCTGATATCCCTGGCCAGGAGTGAGATTCCCCCATTAGCCTGTGAAATCTTTGCTGCCCACATAGTGCCAGGTGGTGTTGAGAAGGGCACAGAGACTGTAAGCTCATTCACGGAATACCCTCCCCTTGGCAGGCAGCAGGAGTGGGGGCCTGGACTGGCAGATGGGCAGGCTTAGAGCCCAGCTCCCAGCTCCCCCACTTGCCACGTGTACCACCTCTGTGAGGTTCAGAACGTAGGAGAAGGGTGGGGAGGCTGAGTACAGTGTCCAGCCCAGGGCAGTCGCTCAGTGAATCTCAGCCAGTATCCCTTTATATCCTTTCTACCCATCGACCCACTGGATATCAGTGACCCACTTTACAGATGAGGCAGCACCACTCAGGCTGATTACAGCCTCCATCTCCTCCAGGGGCAAACAGGTGTACGTGCGGGACTGTTCTCGCCCCGCAAAGAGCTTTGTCAGACCCAGAAAATTATAAGAGCTTTCCGCGTTTGCTTAAATGCTTAAGACATCTGGCAGCATTGGGCTCCCCAGCCCCGTCTTCTGCTAAGGAGCAGCTAATCCCTTTGGACAGTTTGCACAGCAGCCTGTGTGGGCTGGCAGTGCAGTGGCCCTGCCCGGAGGGTGGATTGGCGGGGGGGAGGCTGGAAGAGGGAGAAGGGAGAGCAAGGTATGATTTCCAGGTCAGAGTCTGGGACGTACGGCAACACAGTAATTAAGACAAGGCATACTCCAGAGGTTGCGCAGAGCTCGGGATGACGCTGAGTGTGGTTTGGAGAAGTCGTGATGTCTGCACATGCTCTTGGTCCTTTGAGTCTTAGAGCTTGACCCGCCGATGTCCTCGGGCTGGGCTGATTGGCAGAACAGCCTTTCCTCCCCCAGGTGTCTCGGCAATTCCACAGCTGGTACAGGCGGGAGGATGGGAGGACCCTCTCTAAATACGGCGCCGTGATGGGAAAGCCATTCTCACATCCGAGGATGGTCAGAGGAGGAAACCGGCTAGGAGAGCAGGCAGAAACAGGCGGCCTGAGGCCCCTCTTCTCAGATCAGTGAGGTGAAACCCGGGACAGCCTGGTCCTGTTCTTTTTCTTTAACACTGTTCTTTAATGTCTATTTTTCAGAGAGAGAGAAAGAGTGCGAGCAGGGGAGGGGCAGAGAGAGACACAGGATCTGAAGCAGGCTCCAGGCTCCGAGCTGTCAGCACAAAGCGCAACACGGGGCTCGAACCCACGAACCGTGAGATCATGACCGAAGCTGAAATTGGATGCTTAACTGACTGAGCCACCTCGGCACCCCCCCCCCTTTTTTTTTATGTTTTCTTATTATTTTGAGAGAGAGAGAGAGAGAGAGAGTGCATGGGGGAGTGGGGAAGGGGCAGAGAGAGGGAGACAGAGAATCCCAAGCAGGCTCCCTGCTGTCAGCGCAGAGCCCGACACGGGGCTCGATCCCACGAACCTGTGAGATCCTGACATGAGCTGAAACCAAGAACATGCTCAGGACTTCCAAGAGTGTTGACGACGCCACCCGGCAAAGCCTCCCACTGACGCAGCGCGGTGGGCCTCTGCCCTCAAGTGACTCCGAGGGGGACGAATGGACCCTAAGGAAGGTGGTGGCCCTGGTCTGCCAGAGTGCGGGGGTCTCTGGGGCCTGACTGGGGACGTGCTGGTGGGTGGATATCAACGTCAGCCACCACTACTGACGCAAGTGGGGCTGGGAGCCGGCCGCCCGAGGAGGGATGAGCTGTTAAGCGCCCGCCGTGTCAGTACAGCTCAGCAGGATCCGGTGAGCGCCACGGGGCCCCAGCGGAAGTCACACCCAGCCCCGCCAGGTAGGGAACAGACGCTCCAGAGGTGTTCACCTTCCGGGCTCCGCCACATCCTGTGCAGGCTCTGGAACCTTCCTTTCCTCGTCTGCCGAAGGGCTAGAAGAGCACGTCGCCCTTTGCGCCACATGCCTTCACCACACGGATGTCCCCCTCGCGTGGCCTTCATCATTCTGTGTATTTCCTGGTCTCGGTTTTCCTTTCTCTTCATAATGTTCTGTGATTCTATTATATATACACACACATGTATGTGTATATACATCCTTCCATTCTGCGGCGTCTGCTTTATACGCCCTCTGAAATCCCACCTGGCGTCCAGTTGGGTAAAAGAAAGGAAGGAAAGGAGGGAAGACCGCCCCACACCGCCGGTTGTGGACATGCCTGGCTCTCCCACTAGGAGGCAGCACAGCACCGTGCGAAGGGTGGTGGAGGCCCTGGTCCTCTAAGTCCCATGGGGAGCTGTGTGGCTTTCAGCAATTTATACCCTTAATCTCCCCGGATCCTAGCCTCCCCACCCCTACAACCTTGCAGGCTGGTAAGGCGTAACCCCCCTAGATACCATGTAGATTACATGAAGTAACGTATGGAAAGTGCCTGATTCCGCTTCCAGGGGACATTTAACGATGTCTGGAGACACGCGTGGTTGTCACACTCGGGGGAGCGGATTCATCCGGTAAGTAGGGGCCAGGGATGCTGCTAATACCCTGCAATGCATCGGGACAGGCCCCCCAACACACAATCATCTGGCCACGAGGTCACTAGCGTCGAGGTCGAGAAACCGTGGCCTTACTTACAAGTCGATTTTGAGCTCCTAGAGGGCAGCAAGTGTGTCTTCTCCGTTTCTGTATCTTCCTTGGGGCCTGTCATACGGCGTGCAGTCAGTGAGCGAGTGCAGGGTTGAGCTGAAAGGTTAAGTACTGGCAGAAGAGGTGGCATGGGTACAGTGGGTGGGAAGAGGGGTGACCGACTAGAAAAACTCACTGTCATGGAGTGGGATTGCACACCTAACTGCATTAGCATGGCGGCTTCCTGAGAGATGAGTCTGATTTGCAAAAATGAAATTGGTTCTAAACATCCTAATCAGGTTGTTTTAAATGCTGGCGATCAAGGGGACCCTTCGAGAACTTTCTAATTTTTTTTAATGTTTATTTATTTTTGAGAGAGAGAGAGAGAGCAGGGGAGGGGCAGAGAGAGAGGGAGACACAGAATCTGAAACAGGCTCCAGGTTCTGAGCTGTCAGCACAGGGCTCGAACTCACGAACTGCGAAATCACAACCTGAACCGAAGTTGGATGCTTAACCGACTGAGCCACCCAGGTGTCCCTTAAGAGCGTTCTAGAACTGAGCGACCCCGTTTGGAGCCTCTGCCCCAGGACCCTGTCACAATGGGCTGGAATGACAGAGTCAGGTTTCCTGCCTTCTACAAATCTCAAGAATGTTGTTTCTTTTTCCCACCACCAACCTGCACCCCAGACCCTGGCCAATATTTACAGAACCAAATGGCAAAGAGTCTAAAAGTCTCATTACTGGACAGCAGTGGGCTGGCTGGCAGAGCAGATCAGGGAGCGGAGACAACTATTTTTGACTAGTTGATGGGCGGTCACGTGGATAAGGGCCTGGCCGTGTCCCATGTGAACTTCTAGAAGGCAGAGCAATCCAAACTGGGGCCTGGCATGAGGCATCCTGGGTCTTCAGAAAGGTCGCTGCATGGGACATGCTGAATGTTCTCATTATGGCATGGGGACTGATCCAGTGTGATATCAAAGGAAGTGGCAAATCTTGGCCAAGAGGCGTGGCCGCAGCTAATCCCGTGGGCAAGGCCCTTCAGGGGAGGAAGCTTGGGCCATAGAACACCTACTGCCCTCAGATGGCAGGTTGTATGTGACAGGACCCCAGTGCTTGGGCAGGCAGAGTGGGGTGTTCAGGGAGCAGGGTCTCTGGTGGGTGTTGGACAGCGTAGGAGACAGTCCTGGGTTCAAATCCCAGTGCCTCCACTTATTAGTGGCATTCGCCTGTTAGTTGCTCATTCCCCAAATAGATGGAGTCGTGCTAGGAACTGTTTGCTCCCAAGCGTGGGAGACCACACCCAAAAGCAGGCAATCCTAAGACCATGTGGAAAGGGCAGCACTGGAGACGTCCGAGGCATAATGGGAGCCCAGAGGATCAGCACCTAATCTGGGTGTGGGGAGGTAGAGGCGGGGCCGTCCTAACAAGGCCTCCTGGAGAACCTGACACCTGAGCCTGAAAGAGTGAGCAAGCGTCAGAAACAAAATGGCGGCAGAAGGTTCTGGGCTAAGAGAACAGTGTGCCTGAACTCAGAGAAGAAGGTTTTCTTGAGAGGAGTTAGAATGTTTTCCGCTGTAAATAGCAGAAAGCCCAGCTCAAAGTGTCTTTCACAAAGGGAATGTATTGGCTCGTGTAATTGAGAAGTCCTAACAGTGTGGCTTTCAGGGAAGGTTCCACACACCAGCCAGTGCTATCAGCTGTATGCTCCTCCCTCTCCTTTTATTTCTGGTGGTGAGGGCTCTTTCCCCTTTCCTCATCAAATTTAAAAAAAATATTTATTTATTTGGGGGAGAGCGCAAGCGGGGGACGGGCAGAGAGAGGGGGACAGGCAGAGGGACAGGGGGACAGAGGATCCGAAGCGGGCTCTGTGCTGACAGCGGCCAGCCCGATGCAGGGCTCGAACTCACGAACCATGAGAACATGACCTGAGCCGAGTCGGACGCTCAACCGACGGAGCCACGCAGGCGCCCCTCCCCATCATTCTTGAAGAAAAGAACTTCTTTTCCAGAAGCTTCCAGCAGTTTTTTTTCTTCTGTATCACTAGTCTGGATTGGGCCACTCGTCCATCCCTAAAGTAATCGCCCTGACCAGGCAGTGGGTTGTACAAACTGGCGGAGCCTTTCAGGGCTACCTTAGGAGCTGGGTGTGTGCATGTGTGAGTGTGCACCTGTGTCTGTGTCAATCCCCACCAAAGCACACGATCGAGAAATTCTGGTAGGAAGAGATGCCGAGAAGAGGAACCGTAAATGTCCACTGCAGCCAGCATTTACTGAGTGCCTACTGTGTGCCCAGCTCTCTGGAGCTGCTTTTCGTTTGAGGTGACCTTGACACCTTGGGGACTCATCTAATGAGCAGTTGGATCCATGGGCTGGATGCTCACTGGGGAGGACTCTGGAGAGGCTGGGCCAGCCCTACCTCTGCAGGAGTCCAGAACAGTAAGCAGAGCAGTGGGCCCAAGATGAGGCCCTGGGGAGCCCCCTTATTGAAGGGGCGCATGGGGTAAAAGGGTGCCAGGAAGGCACCCGAGAAGGAACATCAAGAAGGAGGTAGGGGCGCCTGGGTGGCGCAGTCGGTTAAGCGTCCGACTTCAGCCGGGTCATGATCTCGCGGTCCGGGAGTTCGAGCCCCGCCTCGGGCTCTGGGCTGATGGCTCGGAGCCTGGAGCCTGTTTCCGATTCTGTGTCTCCCTCTCTCTCTGCCCCTCCCCTGTTCATGCTCCGTCTCTCTCTGTCCCAAAAATAAATAAACGTTGAAAAAAAAATTTAAAAAAATAAAAATAAAAAAAAAGAAGGAGGTAGAGGAAGTCACAGCGGCTGAGGAAGGGGGTGTGGAGAAGGGATGCGTGACCTGTGTGTCAGGTGCACCACGTGAGGAAATGGGGGGTGCGGCCAGAGTCATGATGATGACTGCTCCCACTTTTGAAGCTCTCCCAATTCTCCAGGCTCTGTTCCAAGTTCTGAGTGCCCTTACAACCGCTCTAGAGTCTGTCCCATGAAGGTCTTTATTTCACAGATGAGGATGTGGGAGACCGACTTGGCCAGGGGCCGGTGAAAGACCTGATGGAGGCAACTAAGGTTGTGCCAGTGGTGACCTTGATGCCCCCCATTTCTTTTGGGCATCCTCCTTCCTCTAGTCGAAGAAGGTTAATGAGCATAGCCCGCCCAGCCCCTCTCCAGTCTCACCTATTGGCCCCGGGATGATCACATGACTTTATCCAAGTCAATGGCCTGCAGGCCCGGGACTTTTAGGGGAGAGGAGCTCTATTTCTTCTGTGCTAAGTACCCAAGATGGGATGCCGCGAGGCCTGGAGCTGCTGCAGCCATCTTGCAGGCATGAGGGTTTTAAGGCTGTTGGAGAATAGGGACAACACAGGATAGGAAGTGGAGCTGAGCCGAGCCACAGAGAGAGCTGGACGACAGTGTGGGAGTGAGCTCCACCTCCAGCTGTACCTGAAGCCTTTCTTGTTACTAAACTAACATGTCAGCGAGCCAATAAACTCCACTGCTTGCCTCGTTTGGGTCAGGCTTTCGTCATTAACTGAAAGCCAACTGCGTCAGTCACCTATGGCCACAATCAGGCTGCGTAACAAACCACCCCCGGTGGCTAAAGCAATTGAGCTCACGAGACTGGATTTATGTTTAGGTTGAACTGGGCCGGGAAGCTCTTCTGGTCTTGGCTGGGCTCACACAACACGTTGGGCGGCCGGGATGACGGGAACAATGAGGCCACACGCCGAGGCCCCGGTGGAAGGACTTGTGCCACTGTTGACGGTTTGCCGCAGTAGCTTTCAGCAGTCTAGGATAGGTGTCTGAGAGGTGGTTTGTGGTACCGATGTAGGGTCGGACTTTTCCTACAAACGCAGGAAATGAGGAGCATACGAGAGGTCAGGTTTGCGGGCGGATCGTCCCTCCACTTGAATTTGTGTGATGCTTCCCTGAGGTGAGGTTCAAGCAATGTTTTTATGGCAGGAAGCAGGGGGCCTGTTTGTGTGAAGCCCTGTGTGTCTCCTGCATAAGCAGCGACTGGCTAACAGGCTCATTCTTTTGTGAATTATCCCTTCCTCTGTCACCAATAATCCAGGTCAGGCCTGAGCAGGTGGGCACATCCTTGAAGCAGCTGCCCACGCGCTGCCAGGCAGAAGAACTGTTCAGTTGAGCCTAGATCGAATTGTGGAACCGTCAGCAAATCAATTGTTGTGTTAGATTTCAGGGTGGTTTGTGTTGAAGCAGTAAATATTTGATGGAGTAAACTACAAAATGAAACTTAAAAAAATTATTGTAATTTAAAAGCATTAGTTTCCTGCCATAACTGAGTGTCTGGGAATTCACTAGAACAGCACACGAGGGGTCGAGGATGCTGGCCAGAGAGCTGGCCCCAGGGGAAGGCTTTTCACTGCTGTGAATGGTAACCACAGATGCGTGGATGTTCCATGATGTGGGGTACCCAGGTGGGGACTCCCAGTGGGCTCCAGGATGTCAGGCCTTCAGGGTTTGTTTTTGTTTTTTAATGTTTATTTATTTGAGAGAGAGAGAGAGAGAGAGAGAGAGAGAGAGAGAGAGAGGCAGATTGTGAGTAGGGGAGGGGCAGAGAGTGAGGGAGACACAGAATCCGAAGCAGGCTCCAGGCTCCGAGCTGTCAGCACCGAGCCCGACGCGGGGCTCGAACTCACAAACCACAAGATCATGACCGGAGCCAGAGTCAGACACTTAACCAACTGAGCCACCCAGGCGCCCCTGTTTTTGTTTTTTTTTAAGTTTATTTACTTATTTTGATGGGGAGGGCGGGAAGGGAAGAGAGGAGGAGGGAGAATCCCAAGCAGGCTCCACACTGTCAGCACAGAGCCCGAAGTAGGGCTCAAACCCACAAACCATGAGATCATGACCTGAGTCGAAGTCAAGTTGGAGTGAACCACCCAGGTGCCCCAGGGCTTGGGAGTTTCAACTGCCCACAGCTCAAGCCCCGAGCTGGAGGGCAACTCTAGAAGCACTTCAGTGATTGCTGTTACCCAGTCACCGGGCTTGCTCTGGTCTCCCCCATCCTGATGGAGCTTTACAGGTTGTAAACCATTTCCCTGTCTTTTATGTTGTCCTCTAGATGCAGTAAAGCTCTCTATGGACCATTTTTATTTATTTTTTTTAATTTTTTTTTCAACTTTTATTTATTTTTGGGATAGAGAGAGACAGAGCATGAACGGGGGAGGGGCAGAGAGAGAGGGAGACACAGAATCGGAAACAGGCTCCAGGTTCTGAGCCATCAGCCCAGAGCCTGACGCGGGGCTCGAACTCACGGACCGCGAGATCGTGACCTGGCTGAAGTCGGACGCTTAACAGACTGCGCCACCCAGGCACCCCCCCTATGGACCATTTTTATAGGCAGATTGCGTCTGGAGAGAATAGGCGTCCCCTCCAAGGCCGTGGAGCCCGCCAGAACAGTACATCCAGCTCCCTGGATGGCCCGTGGAGGAAGACAGTCGTATCTGATGTTCACAGCCGCTCACAGCCGGCTTCCTCGGCTCTGACGACTTCACGCCAGCCCTCACCTCGCCGCACTGACGTGGCGCTTACCTGTTGGTGTTTCCCACTGTCCGTAATCCTCCTGACAGCAGGGACTGCCTTCACTCGGCGTCCCCTCACCCGGCACCACGCCTGGCTTGATTAGGAGCTCGGATGGTGTTTGAACATCAGTGTGGAACGTCACGAGCATCCTCACGCCTCCTGCCTTCATCTTCCTCCCCCCCCCCAGCCCCCCGCCACGGACGCTGACACAGGGAGGGGCGCGTGGCATTCACTGCCTTAATGTACCCAAGCCTCCCTCCCCACAGCTGTAAAATGGGAGTGATGGGGAGGGAGATCTCTTAGCCCAGAGCCTGGCACAGAATAGGCGCTTAATAAATAACGTCTGTAAAAGTCTATGATGAGGACGATTCATTCTGGGACATGATTTAAGGGTTATACACTTGATCTCAAGTGGAGAGGGGTTACCGTCACCCCCTTTTGGCTAGGTGGGATGTCTGTATCTCCTCCACTCTCCCCCAAGCCTGTGGAATTACACTCCCCACCCCCCACCCCCAACCCCCCAAGCACCTGCAGCAGGTGCCTTCCTGGGCACTGGCAGCACGGCCGGAGGCCACGTATCTGAGCTATGCATGTGACACCCTGCGCACCTAGTGGCTGCTCAGGGGACATTAGCCCCTGCCGTGGCCACCGACACTTCTGTCTCTCCTCCCTGTCTCCAGCCTCCGTCTCCCCATCTAACAGGGAGGCCGCACAGCCACCCCACGGGAGACTGAGGCAGAGTTCAAAGTGTGCCTGCTATCACCATCTGAGACCCTCCTTGGAAAATACCCAGAGGGTTCCTTCCCGAGGATGATACCATCGTCCATGGGCTTGATGGAAGCCTCCAGGAAGGCCCCCGCATTCCCTGGCTCCAGGCACCATCTGAGCACAAGTCCAAGGGAGAGACAGTGCCGTCTTCACGTGCCCCAAAGGGCTGGTGACAGGACCAGTGCCGGGAATCCAGGTGCGGTCCCTCTTCTGCCACCAAGTGGCTGTGTGACCTTAGAACCTGTGACAGGGAAGCACCTGGATGGCTTAGTGGGTGGAACTTGCGAATCTTGATCTTGGGGTGGTAGGTTTGAGCCCCACATTGGGTGTAGATTACTTTTTTAAAAATCCTGAAAGAAAAAGAAGAAAGAAAGAAAGAAAGAAAGAAAGAAAGAAAGAAAGAAAGAAAG